GCAGCTCCCCTTGGTCAAAACTAAGAAGTATGGGGCTGGGGCTCAGCAGTAGGCACTTGTCTGGCATGTGTGAGGCACTGGGTTCAGTTCTCAGCACCACATATAAATACATAAATAAAATAAGGATCTGTCAACAACTAAAAACAAAAATTAAAGAAACACACAAACTAAGTAAACTTCATGGTGCTGTTAATGAAACTCTAGACAGAGATTCATTGGCCTCTCCCTAATAACGTTGTGAGAGTAAAAGCAAAGGTGACTCCATTTTGTTTTGTGACTCCATCCTGTAAAACAACCAGGCCAAGGAGAAGGGTCGTGACTGGGGCAAGATGTTCTTTTCCTTTTGCTATAGAAACCTTTAAGAACACGGGACTACCTAATGGGGCATTGTTTCTGTAACTAGGGTAACAGGCTCTGTTTCTGTAACTGGGGTGACTGGGCTAACTGTGATTGCTTAGGCTTCCCTCCGCCTGACTGCACTCTCCTGCTTCTGTAACCTGGCTGGCTTGCATTGGCTGGACCCCCCGAACATCCCTATTGCGGTTTTCAGGCTTATAAGGAGGGCCCTTGCAATTGTTGGGGGCTGATCAGGGGAACAGCTTTCTGTTCTGGTCAGTCACCACTGGTGTGCTTCAATAAAGGCTTGATTCCATTATACATGAGTGGTCTGGATGTCAGTTTAGGAAACCCCGTGACGAAGCTTTAACTATAACATCGTGTTGGTTTCCAGGTCCAAACCAGGAACTCCCCGCGCATTTAGAAGAGGATGTCTCCCCAGCCATGAGTACTCACTTTCTCTCTTTCACGAGTTATGCGGGGTTTTAGGGTTTGTTATTTTGTTTTTCAGTACTGGGGACCAGACCCAGGGCCTCATGCATGCTAGGCAAGCACCTACCACTGAGCTGACCCCAGCCCTTCAAGTTGTGTGTTCAGCGTCCTTGAAAAATGAGTTCCTAATTAGCTTCCATTTAAATCGGCATTCTGTGGATCTTCCAGTTCCCACATAGAAGAAACCCACCCAATTCTATTTCTTCGAAAGAAAAAAGTCCACTCAGCATCTCCTCCAGGGTAGGAGGGGAATTTCTTCTGTAAAGTTCCAGTAGTAAATTATTTCAGGCCTCAGACCGTGTGGTCTATGACAGAACTGCACAACTTAATTCTTGTACCACTTATGGGTTGCAGTCGCTGCACGATTCTGTCTTCTGTGGTGCTGGGGTTGGAGCCTAGGGACTTCCCGGGTGAGGCAAGTGCTCCACCACTGAGCTGCCCTGGCCCTGCTGTTGCGTTTGGTGATAAATGGGTGCAACGTTGTACCAATAAGATGTTATCTGTAAAAACGAGAGGCAGACCACACCTGGACTGTGGCCAGTTTTCCAATCGCGCTCTCGGGCAGCTGATCTGCACAGGCTATCAGAGAATCCTAAATACTGTTCTGGTCCTACCCAGAGAGATTCTGGGGAGTCCGGGAATTTGAGTGCTAAAAGCTCCTGTGTGGGGCTGACGTGTGGGTGAGACGGAATCTCAGCTCCAGGTAGGTGCGTCTTACCTAGGGCTGGGACACCGTCAGCTCCCTGCTCCTGTTTAGCAGGAAGACCTCTTCCAGCCAATGGGAAGTCTCAATTTCCCATGTGACATTCTGTAGGGCCTGGGGCTTCCGCTGAGCAGATACTTGGTACCAGCTGGTCTTTTCCTCTTCCCTTAATCTTTATTTCTACTTTGTCTCCATTACCCTGTCTTCATTCTTTCTATAGAACACTTTTAAAAGTTAGAATGTTCCAAATATGATCATTTCAACATGTAAATCATATAAAAATTATTTAAATTATTTAAATGGGGGCATTATAATTACACAATAGTGGGATACGTTGTGACATTTGTAGGTGCACCTACCACAACCCGCCAGTTTGTTTCCAGTCCCTCCCCTGCCCTCTCCTCCCACCTCCTGGTTCCCCACCACCCCTCACCTGGTTCTCTTCCAGTCCCGCCCCCTGGTTTTCTCCCCCCCTTCCCCCCCTTCTCTTCCCACCCCTGCCCCCTGGTTCTCTCCCCCCCCTTCTCTTCCAGTCCCGCCCCCCTGGTTCTCTTCCAGTCCCGCCCCCTGGTTCTCTTCCCCCCACCCCCTGGTTCTCTTCCCGACCCCCCCCAACCCCCCTTCTCTCCCCCCACCCCCTGTTTCTCTTCCAGTCCCGCCCCCTGCTTCTCTCCCGCCCCCCTTCTCCCCCCTTCTCTTCCCCCTCCCCCCCCCCCGCCCCCTGGTTCTCTTCCTCCCTGTAGAACGCTCCCTAATCTCCAGACGTGCAGGTTCTTTGCACGGTGGCCAGCGGGCTGCTTTGCTGCCCTTGTCCCAGTCCATCTCTCATTGAGCTACCTGATGCCTCCCCAGGCCCTGCAGGCGGCCTCTCTCGCAGGGGGCCGCTCCTGTGATTCTCTCAGTCCCAGGGTAAGTTCAACTCTTCCCCATCAAACCCCGCTGGTGTGTGCCTCCTCTGCCCTCTGTGCTCAGCCGCCTGCACCTCCCCAGGCCCAGGTCACAGTCCCTCTCTGTGAAAGTGGAGAGGACCCCTGAGGCCTTTTCTCCTTGCGCCGAGCCTGGTGTTGAGTGGCATGTGCATTCCCTCCTGGCTCCCTCTAGAGTAGGGCGCCACGGAACCCTGAAACGGGGTTCCTCCGGCTCTGATCTTCAGCAGTCATGAACCCCGTGCTGGGGGCTCAGTGATGGGCTCTGGTGCCACAGTGACACTGCCCCCAACTGTGTATCAGGTGTCCCTGGAGCCTGGATTAGCTGCTGTATAAAGGCTGGAGGGAGCAGCTTTGGTCCTCCCGTTTGCGCCATGGTGAAGCATCAGAAGCCGGCGCCAGGTGAGGGGACCTCCCAGCACCTCCCTCTTGGACTTTCTGGCCTCCAGAACTGAGAAGGTCCCATTCTGTATCAATCACTGAGCCTCGGGTATCATGGCACAGCAACAGGAGGGGATCGGACCCCCAGAGCCGGATTCAAGATGTCTTCCTGGTGTGCGTTTCAGGGGTCCTGTGACAAAAAGCCCCACTGCCCTCACTTTCAGAGCTCCCTGGGCCCCAGACTCTGGAAACCTCTGCAGGAGAACAAAGATGACTCCAGGGAGCAATGGGCTGGGATCATGTTACCGGGGGCTGGGGCGGCGTGATAAGTGACAGCCCAGGCTCCGGTGCTCTCTGCCGCCACCGTCCACAGTTGATGGTGTCCCCTGTGTGTCATGGGGCTTGGTTCCTCATCAAACCAAGAGGCCTCATGAGAGCGGGAACCCAGCCTCCTGGAAGCCCAGCAGTGCCGAGCCTGTGCTTCTGGTGGCTACTGAGGTGCTGGTCTCCTCTGCGCGGGCTGCCAGCGCCGAACACCGCGGACCCGGTGCCTTCTGCAAAAGCTATTTTCTCACCATTCTGGGGGCTGGATGTGCCAGATCAAGGTCTGCGGGCTGGCCTCTCCTCGTCTTGCAGGAGAGCTGCCTTCTCTGTGTGCCTCCTGGGCCCCTTGTTACCAGGACACACGTCCCGTCGGCCTCATTTGTCCTCCACGGCTTCTCGTCTTCAGAGTGTTGGGGTTAGGGCTTCAGGGTCAACCCCTGGTGCACAGAGTTCAGTCCGTGGTGCCTGCTGTAGACTTCTGATTTTTCTCCTGGTTAATTAGCATGTTTTCCGGCAGTTCGGTGGTTCTACAAGAATAGAATCACGTCTAACTCGGCAATTCTCCTAGGTATATGTGCAAAAGGGTTGAAGATGGGTATTGAAACAAGAAAATGTGAGAGTGTACGTTGGCAGCATGAGTCACAATTCCCAGAAGGTAGGCACAACCAGATGTCCCCCGTGGGTGAGTGGACGAATGAAATCCCTGTCCATGCCATGGGCATTCCCCGCCACAGAGGGCAGGACACTGCAGCTTGGAAGGGCAGCCAGCGCTGTTCAGGGAAGGGAGTCACAGAAGGCCATTCCCTCAGGAGCCTGTTTATATAAAACTCCCCAAATAAATCCAGAGACGAGATGAGGGTCAGTATGTACCAGGAACTGGGGAGGGGTGATGGGTGGTTCTAGGTGTGAGGGATCGGAAGGAGTTTGGGAACAGACGGTGGTGATGGTCTCGACACTGTGGAAGTACCAATTGTACACGTTTCCATCTTTCGTGGTGCTGGGGACTGAACCCCAAGTCCCCTGCTGAGCTGTCCCTCCAACCTGAAAGTGGTCAGTCCTTGTGCATTTTGCCACAATAAAGCAGACCCCCGTCCCGGAGGCCTTCTTTGCCTCCTTTGACTGTTGGTGCAGGAGAACCCATGGCCCCGCAGTCCAGCTTCTTCTGTGTGTTACAGAGGATGCCCAGGGGCTCACAATGGAGCACACCATGCTGCGAGACCTGGAGGAGTCCTTGCAGAAAGAGGCAGGTGGGTGAACTCCCTCTGATGCCACAAATTTGGTGTTTGAGGGCACACAAGGTAAATCGCCTAACTGGCTTTTCTTGTTCCTGGCATTTTATGTTTTTCAGGAGAGGAGGAGGATGGGAGCTGGACCACTGCTCGGTATCTACCCTGAGGATGGGACGTCGTCCAACTACAGCGAGTCACACACGCCGTGTTCACAGCTCACAGCCACCAGACTCGGAGCCAGCCTAGGTGTCCAGATAAAGAGGATGCCGTCTACACACACGGAGCTATATTCACCCATCAAGAACAAAACTGTGGAAATCTGCAGGATAATGGATGGAACTAGAGACCATCGTGTTAAGTCAAAAGAAGGTCAAGGGTCCTGCGTTTTCTCTCATATGTGGAAGTCAGAGAAAGTTTTAAAAAGGGAGAGAGGAGAGCTCACTAAAACAGAAGGGAGAGCAGTTATTTTAGTCGGCTTTTTTGCTGGAGGAAAATCGCTCAGGACATGACAGTCAGCAAGCAGAGACAGAGCTCTGGTCATCAAGGACAGAATGTCAACCCCAGCCGCCCCCGCGGCCCCTCCTCCAGCCACTCCCCACCCACCCACAGTCGGTTAATGCCCTGATTAGGTCGAGGCTCCCACACCCAATTATTCCCCTCTAAACCTTCCCACTTTGTCACATGAACTTCTGGGGGACACCTCACATCTAAACCACAACAGCAGGGTAGAAAGGACAGGGGACATGGTTAATGAAATGGACCAAATCATGCTGTACGTACAAACCTGTCACGATGAAGCCCACTACTGTGTGTGGTCATAATGCACTAGAAAAAATAAATGGCAGAAATGAACAGAAAAAAAAAATGAAATCACTAAAGCCACCTCCTGTGTCAGTTGTGATTGAAGTGGTCACTCAGGACGTGAAATCCGTCCCTTGCAGCCTGCTTCTGGACCTCCCTAGGGTACAGGTGTGCTCTGAGGTAGAACTGGAGCTGAACTAAGTAGATACAGAGACCCAGAAAGACCCAGAGAGGAGCTCAGAGGGGAGGGGAGGGTTCATTCCACCTCAGCACCCGGCGTCCTGGGAAGATGCTTCCCATCTGCAGGCACCGTCTGGATCCCAGGTCCCCAGACGCCTCTCAGTAGCCGGGTACACCTCCTGCCCCATCTGCAGGCACCGTCTGGATCCCAGGTCCCCAGACGCCTCTCAGTAGCCGGGTACACCTCCTGCCCCATCTGCAGGCACCGTCTGGATCCCAGGTCCCCAGACGCCTCTCAGTAGCCGGGTACACCTCCTGCCCCATCTGCAGGCACCATCTGGATCCCGAGGTCCCCAGACGCCTCTCAGTAGCCGGGTACACCTCCTGCCCCATCTGCAGGCACCGTCTGGATCCCAGGTCCCCAGACGCCTCTCAGTAGCCGGGTACACCTCCTGCTCCATCTGCAGGCACCGTCTGGATCCCAGGTCCCCAGACGCCTCTCAGTAGCCGGGTACACCTCCTGCCCCATCTGCAGGCACCGTCTGGATCCCAGGTCCCCAGACGCCTCTCAGTAGCCGGGTACACCTCCTGCCCCATCTGCAGGCACCGTCTGGATCCCAGGTCCCCAGACGCCTCTCAGTAGCCGGGTACACCTCCTGCCCCATCTGCAGGCACCATCTGGATCCCGAGGTCCCCAGACGCCTCTCAGTAGCTGGGTACACCTCCTGCTCCAACTGCAGGCACCGTCTGGATCCCAGGTCCCCAGACGCCTCTCAGTAGCCGGGTACACCTCCTGCCCCATCTGCAGGCACTGTCTGGATCCCGAGGTCCCCAGACGCCTCTCAGTAGCCGGGTACACCTCCGCATGGGCTCACCTTTTAGTGCCTCAGTTCCCTTATTTGCGAAGTGCAGAATAATGTGGCCAACCTCTCTGGGTCACCATGAGGACTCAAGGTCACCACTGGAAGCTGCTCAGAGCTGGGCTGGACGATAGGAGGCGTCTTTCAGGTCTGGTGAGCACAAGCCGCCCCGAGGCAGCTCTGCCCAGGTCTCTGCCCGGTGCTGGAGCCAGCTCCCCCACCCCCGCCCACCACGAGGGTCCTCCAGCACCAGGTCAGCACTGGGGAGCTCCAGAGGAGGGCGGAAGAGTCGGCCTGACAAGAGCTGGTCCAGGCTGTGACCCCAGGGGAGGGGACCAGTGAGGACAAACCTGGGCACCCCTGGCCAGACGGAGGGGGTCCCAGATGAGGAGCGTGGAGGAATGCAACAGTGGTTGTTCTTTCCTCCTCCTGCGTCCGACTACGGAATAGGCTTTTTGTATCATCTCCATTAAAAAAAAAAGGAGAAAGAGTGAACATAAGCGTATCTGGTAAAGCGCTCTGCGCCTGTGTGTGTCAGGGCAGGGAGGAGCAGGCTGCGCCGCTCTCTGAAGCTGCCCTGGGCAGGGTCTTGATCAGAATAGAGGGTCGGGGCTCTGAACTGGGGGAATCCACCCCCACACCCCCAAATCGCTGATAGGAGGAAGGGAGAGGGAGGGACAGCAGCCACCTGGGGAGCCATGTCCCCAAGGTGACACCAGAGCTCAGGTGGAAAGGAGATCAGAGTGACCTTCAGGAAGACGAGCGTCGGGTGGGTTTGCTGTGAGCTACGGGGAGATGGGGAGAAGACCGCGTCCGGGGCATGAGACGCAGCCAGTTCAGTTACGTGTGTGAAGAGCACAGCGAGTCCCACGGTTGTGTGTCATGTGACAATAACAAAACCAAGACACGAGAAGAGGAAGGCCACTCGTAAGCAGTGTAGGACCCCAGACCCCATAGGTTCAGCCACAGCCGCAGAGGCCCTGGCCGCGCTGGGAATCAGGGAGGACGGGACCCTCACCACACACAGAGCCGGGTGCGTGGGGAGCCGGGCAGCAGGGCGGAGCCCAGGTGCCGCTAGCCACCCAACCACAGGGCAGCCCAGGGACCATCCACCCCGATGTCACTGGAGCAGAGGGAGAGAAGCCCTGCCAGGTCGCATAAGATCCCATATCCTGGACGCACACTCTGCTCCTGTCCCTCAGGGCCCTTCACACCCACAGATGGACTCCGCCTGGTCCTTGAATGTGAGCCCTGCCTGGCTTCCTGCTCCACCTTCCAGAAGCCAACCCTAGGGGGGTGACCCAGGCTGAGCACGCCGCCTCTTCAGGACCTGGTGGGCGAGGGCAGACACCTCTTCCACCTGGGGAGGGTCCTGTCCCCTGTGCTGGTCATTGCCGTGGCCCAAAGGCGATGGTGGCAGGAGACCCAGCACCTCAGGCCTGCACGCCCAGCTGCACGCTGCTCACGGTGTGAGTTAACACAGCGTTGGCCCAAAGAAGACAGAGCCAGTCTCGAGTTGCCCTCGTGGGGACAAAAGGCTCCTTAAACAGCAGAGACACAGGCTGTTGTCCCCACAGGCCATGGGACACTCAGGAGGGGAACAGGGGAACCTGCCTTCCCTTCTCCCAGGCTGGCCAGCGCGGGAACCCCTGGGGACCCAGCAGCACCACGTCTGGGTCTGGGGAAGCTCCCTCCCTCTGCCCACAGAGAGCACCCAGGCCACCCTGAGCTTGGGCGGGGTGTGAAACTCCCTGACCCATCCCCGACACCCCAGAGGTGGCTACGTCTAGGCAGCACCCTCATGTGCCTGTCACTCACCCAAAACCGCTGCACGGACTTTCCCATGGTCTGGGTTGGAGCCGTTCTGCGTTTGACCGGACCGTGGTCCATGACCACGTGCACTGACCGGAGCTGCTGGAGTGGAGCGCCCCGTGAGCATTCCCCTGTAAGGAAGAGGGTGGTAAATTAGACAAAGGGCACAGGCTGGAGAAAGGGGCGTCTCCCAGGACACGTGGGGTGGAACCCAAGGGCAGAACACCTCACTTTCAAAATTGTCTAGACACTGTGGGGAAGAAAATAGAGAAAAAGAAAACCAGGCCCAGGCCCAGAGGGGGAGGAAGAGCTGTGAACATCTGGTCAAACCTTGGTGTGGAAGTCCCGGGGCACGGGCGCCGGCCACACCTACCACATCCTGTGCCTGTCCCTGGACTGCCGGCTCAGTCCCCATCCGGCTGCCCAGTCCCCGTCTGGCTGCCCCGCATCGGCCTGCAGCATCGTGCCATGCCACCCACACCGGTGGCCCTGCTGTGCCTCGGTGAGTCTCTGGTGGAAGGGCCCCGGGCCAGGTGTGGTGGGCACTGTCCTCATACTGCCTGCGTTCCAGGGCTGCACCTGAGCCTGAGGACCAGCATCCAGAGTGGTGAGTCCTCCCCTAAGGCCCAGAGTCGCCCAGGGTTCAGCCGTCCACCTAGAACACGGGGGAGGCAGGCTCCGCGGTGCTGGGAGGGCTTGGGCCAGCAGGTGGGCGGGAGCGGGGGGCAGGCCGGAGGCTCCCCTGCACCACAGCCTCGCTTCCCTTCCAGAGGGCCTCCCGAGACCCGTCATCCAAGCCAGGCCCAGCTTCATGGTTCCAAAGGGACAGTCGGTGACCCTGTGGTGCTGGGGCACCCGGGAGGCTGAGGAGTACCGGCTGCATTTTGAGGGAGGGGTTGCTGCCCTGAAGAGACCAAGACCACCTGGACTCGTGGACAAAGTCAAGTTCTTCATCCCCACCATGGCCTCCAGCACAGCAGGGCAATACCACTGCTTCTACCGCAGAGGGGAGCTCTGGTCCGAGCCCAGCAGCTCCCTGGACCTGGTGGTGACAGGTAACCCACCCACTCCTAGCAGGACCTGGTGGTGACAGGTGACCGACCCACTCCTAGCAGGACCTGGTGGTGACAGGTGACCCACCCACTCCTAGCAGGACCTGGTGGTGACAGGTGACCCACCCACTCCTAGCAGGACCTGGTGGTGACAGGTGACCCACCCACTCCTAGCAGGACCTGGTGGTGACAGGTGACCCACCCACTCCTAGCAGGACCTGGTGGTGACAGGTGACTGACCCACTCCTAGCAGGACCTGGTGGTGACAGGTGACTGACCCACTCCTAGCAGGACCTGGTGGTGACAGGTGGTGGCGGTGAGCACTGCCTGGGCGGTGAGCACTGCCTGGGCGGTGAGCAACCAGTGGCTCTAACTGTCCACGGAGGTGGCTCAGGTGGAAAGGTCACACTGTGCGCGTCTGGCCACAGTGGGAAAGTAATATGTTTTAAAAACACCACAGAGTGTCCCGTCCCTGGGTGTCTGCGGTGGTGGCTCTGGAGGGGACTGTGGTATGGCATCATGCTGCCGATCCTACCCTCAGCCCTGAGGAGCACAGGCCGAGGGCCACTCCCAGAGACATTCCTACTCAGTCCTGGAAGCCGGGCACTGAGAGCCTCGGTCTTGAAGGAGTGCTTGGTAGGACATGGCTGTGACCAGGGCAGATCTGGGACAGGGGAAGGGGGACAGATTCCCGAGAGTGGCCTGTGGCCTTGAGGACTTTGAGACAGGAGGTGGGGGAGCAGGGTCAGCGTGCTGTCCTCCCACCAGCCACCTTTTCTCCCAGGAATGTATGACACACCCACCCTCTCTGTTCATCCCGGACCTGAGGTGGCCCTGGGGGACAGCGTGACCTTCTTTTGCCACCTAGCGACAGCAACCAGCACTTTCTTTCTGCTCAAAGAAGGGAGGTCCAGCAGCACACAGCGTAGCCTCGGGAGCACACAGGCAGAGTTCCCTGTGGGCCCGGTGACCGTGGCCCACCAGGGGACCTACAGATGCTTTGGCTCCTACAACAACCACGCGTGGTCCTTCCCCAGCAATCCGGTGATGCTCCTGGTGACAGGTGAGGACACCCAACCTCCCCTCTCTTCTGGAGCCTAGGGAACCGCAGGTAGAGACGGAGCCATGTGCACGGGACCTCCATATCTCAGCGACCCAGCTGGTCAATGACCGGGACTGCAGAGGGGAAGACCCCTAACCTTTCACCTTCCCTCTCCAGGAGGTGCGGGGAACAGCAGTCTTGCACCCACAGACCCGGCGGATTCCCCGGGTATGTGGCGGCACTTCTGAGCAAAGGGGAGGCGGAAGGCTTCTGCACCTGGCACATGTCGAGGTGTCCACTGAGCCCGGGACAAACAGCCTTGCCTGGGTGGCCCTGGCCCAGGGATCCTTTGAAGGGAGTCAGGATGGATCAGGAATTCCTTATAACCCCTGGAGGAGAAGAGGGCGTGCAGAGGCCGAGTTAAAAGCCACTGGGGGGGGGGGGGGGCGTGGCGAGATGGAGTAGGACCGCCCAGGGGGCCCCACAGAGGGAGGCCTTTGAGGAAATGCCCAAAGAGTGGATGGAGAGGGTCGCGAGCTCTGTGGAGGGAGAGGGGATGGCCGCAGCTCCGGGCTGGAAGGTGGCCAGGGTGATGGAGGAAGTGCAATGGGGTCAGGATTGGGAAGGACCTAAGGAAGCGCGGGGGACAGGGACGGGCAGCTCACTCACCAGGGGCAGAAAGGGTGGGTTGGCACCTGCCTGTGTGCGGCGAGGTGACTTTGCCTTCACCAGGAGGCCAGGCTCCCCGGAGGAGCTCCTGGCAGAGGACGGCTGAACTCGTCCAGGGGTGTCCGTCCTCCTCTGCTCCACCTGCCAGATGAAGCCACTGGGTCTCCAGCAGGGAGGGGCCTGGGAAGCAAAGGACCTGCACAGCCACCAACCTCACGCCTCCCCTTGCCTGTCACCTACAGATTCCTGTGACCCCTACCTGGTGACCACAGAGTCGGGGTCCCAGAAAGGTGATCAAAGGGGGGGGGGGCACAGCCACGCCCTGGAGGAGGAGGAGGGAGGGACACGGCCATGCCCTGGAGGGGGAGGGGCACAGCCACGCCCTGGAGAAGGAGGAGGGAGGGGCACGGCCACGCCCTGGAGGAGGAGGAGGAGGAGGAGGGAGGGGCACGGCCACGCCCTGGAGGAGGAGGAGGAGGGGGGAGGGGCACAGCCACGCCCTGGAGGAGGAGGAGGGAGGGGCACGGCCACGCCCTGGAGGAGGAGGAGGAGGAGGGAGGGGCACGGCCACGCCCTGGAGGAGGAGGAGGAGGAGGAGGGAGGGGCACGGCCACGCCCTGGAGGAGGAGGAGGAGGGGGGAGGGGCACAGCCACGCCCTGGAGGAGGAGGAGGGAGGGGCACGGCCACGCCCTGGAGGAGGAGGAGGGAGGGGCACGGCCACGCCCTGGAGGAGGAGGAGGAGGAGGGAGGGGCACAGCCACGCCCTGGAGGAGGAGGAGGAGGAGGGAGGGGCACGGCCACGCCCTGGAGGAGGAGGAGGAGGGAGGGGCACGGCCACGCCCTGGAGGAGGAGGAGGAGGGAGGGGCACGGCCACGCCCTGGAGGAGGAGGAGGGAGGGGCACGGCCACGCCCTGGAGGAGGAGGAGGGAGGGGCACGGCCACGCCCTGGAGGAGGAGGAGGAGGAGGAGGAGGAGGAGGAGGGGGAAGGGGCACGGCCACGCCCTGGAGGAGGAGGAGGAGGAGGGAGGGGCACGGCCACGCCCTGGAGGAGGAGGAGGAGGGAGGGGCACGGCCACACCCTGGAGGAGGAGGAGGAGGGAGGGGCACGGCCACGCCCTGGAGGAGGAGGAGGAGGAGGGAGGGGCACGGCCACGCCCTGGAGGAGGAGGAGGAGGAGGAGGAGGAGGGAGGAAGGGAGGGGCCTGCACTGCTCCAGCAGCCGCTGCTCTTCTCCCCCAGACCCCACCCGCTGGGACCACACAGCCCAGAACCTCCTCCGGATGGGCCTGGCGTTCCTGGTGCTGGTGGCTCTGGCGTGGCTCCTGGCTGAAGACTGGCTGGGCAGGAGGAGGGCTGCAGCTGGGAAGGCCGGAGGCCGAGAACGCAGAGCTCCTGGAAGAGGGGCCGAGGGACACTGCCCACAGGTGGCACTGAAGCTGGCTCCTCGGCCTCAAGCCATGTGAGCTCTGCCTGACCCCTAGAGGACAGGTCATGGCGGGAATTGGGCACCAAGGAGGTGACTGCACAGGGTTTGGCAAGGCATCCCAGGGGAGGCAGGCAGTGGGGCGGAGACGCTGGACGCCCCCCTAGACCACCCGGAGCTCTCCGCAGGCAGATGTTCAGGCACCTCGAGAGGACCCAGGGAATTTTTAAATCTGAGTTTTCTGTGGAATATCAGGAGATGTCAAGTCCGGGCTGACAGACAGCCCAGCCGGAGCTCCGGCGTCACATTACCCCCGGTGGCCACGATGCTATTCTCTGTACCATGGAGATGGGGCTGGGACCCGCTCTCTTCACTCCTAGGTCCCCATTCTGAACCTCCGCTCCTCCATCCCTGTTGACCAGGTGTCCTAAGGTCCAAGAATTTCTAAATTCTTATCAAACTGCAGTCTCCCCACACCAACTTCATCCCGAGCTGAGAGGGACTTGTTGGAGTGAGTTTGTGAGAATCGGATGTTTCATATCCTAATTTACGGCAGGGAGAGACTCTTGGGAAAATAAGGTACAAGTTTTATGTCCCGAGGCTTACATGTGGGCCCTGACCACCAAGGCCTGTGTCCCCTCCAGTCCCACCAAAATCTCTCCCCAAACCTCACAGGGTGAGCCCAATTGCCACAGTTGCGTGACGCATTTTGAAATCCTGAACATATTCTATATCCCAGCAGAAAATGAAGGGTGAGGAGGAAGAGCACCAAAAACCTCTGTTGCCAAGCTAGATAATATTCAATAAAATTAAATTAAAATTCAAAATGAATGCCGACAATGTCCATGATGAACAAAATCTCAGAACTGTAAATGACGATGCGCTTTAGTCTGTTAGGGTTGTCACGGCAGGGAGGTGGCCGGTCAGCAACACCTTAGCTCTCAGCTCCGAGGACCAAAGTCCAAAGTCAAGGTCAGGCAGGGCTGGCTCCTCCCAAGGCCCCTCTGGGGCTCCCTGTGGCCTCACAAGTTCGTCCCTTGTCCTGATCTCTTGAGGACATGAGGACATACATAGCAGCAGGCCTCTTCAGCAGCCTCATTAACCTTAATCACTTTTCCAAGTAACCTGGGGGGCCACATTGGGGTGGGGAGGGGCCACAACTCAGCCGTCAGAGGACCTGACCCTGAACCTGCCTGGCCTTGACCCACCGGCCCTCCCCAGCCCTGGCCCTGTGAGGAAGAGTAGCTGCCCCACTCCTGCTGGCCGGACACCAGGCTGGGTGCCCAAGTCATGGGCTGGGGGCTGCCCCCAGGTCACAGCATCCTGAAAAGTCACAGAACGGGGGTGAGAGACACAGCTCTTTCAGGGAATTAAGGACCCCAAAGCTCTCTGCCTTCACCCAGGAACGGGCTTGTGTCACATTCACCTCTGAAGCCGGCGGGTTCCTGAGCTCCAGAGCCCCCCATCCCAGGTCCCGCCACCCGTGAACTTTCAAAACGAGCGGAAGAGTGAGGAAGGAACGTATCCGGAGCTAGTTCTGTGGGCACATGAAAGAACAGTGTGCTCGTGATCCTGTGGAGATGAGAGGGGACTCACGCAGCCACCACCAGGAGGTTACCACGGGCAGGAGGAGTGTGACCATGCGTGGAGAGCAGATCACCCAGGGCAGCGAGACCTCGGCAAGGCCTAGGCCTCCTCCTGAGGGCAGACAGGGGCCACCAGGAGCTCTAGGGACAGATAGGGTCACACATGTTTGCATGTAGGCATGGGGGGGGTGATCCCTCAGGTGACGTGGGACACTTGGAAGAGGAGGACAAATTCGCTGAGACTGTTAGGAGGCTCCTGCGTTATTCCAGGAGAAGTTGGGGACCGCACAGAGAAGTGTTACCTTTGACACTGTTTAGGCACAGAAACCATATTTTATTGTTTGGAGGGACGGCTGAGGAGGTGGCAGGGTCCCTGGAGCTAACAGAGTGGACCTCTGGGCAGACAAAGGGGACCTGACCTCCCCTCCTGCTGCCCATTGGTGTGGATGTCGTGAGGAACCCTGACAGGCGCAGAAGGGGACCTGCCGGCAGAGAGCACAGCTAGCGGCCCCTCTTCACACACTGCCCTTGAGCTTCACCCCAGCTGAGTGGAGAATGATGGACAAGTGCAAATTGTGTCAGGCTGGGCGGCTCAGTGGAGGGCACTCGCCGGGCACATGAAGGCCCTGGACTGGACCCCCAGGACGGGAAAGCAACTGTACCTTCTCAAGGTGTGCGATGAGGTGACTGGATACACACACACACTCTAGTGATACCACCAATCAGCATGCCGGCACCTCACAGGTGACCGTCGGACTGGGAGAGGAGGGCACACCAGGAATCGGCTCTGCACGGTCCAAGGGAACTGCGTGGTGCTGCTCATCAGCCGCCAGGCTATACTTGCGGTCCCAGGACTTGTTCCTCTTACAACTGAAGTTGTGCCCGTGACCCACCCAGCCCCAGTCCCCTGCCACCACCCCACTCTGCTCTGTGAGCTTGGCTGCTCGGATCCCCCGTGCGAGATCACGCAGCCTCTGTGCACAGGAACGTGCGCACTGCCTGTCACAGGCTCATAGAACATTCCTCCCTTATTCTTCTCCTAGTTTTGAAAGTTCTTGGGGTGGTGGGGACCTGGGATGGGGGGTCTGGAGCTCAGGGACCCCGTGGGTGAATCTGACACAAGCCTGTTCCTGGGTGAAGGCGGACAGCTGCAGGGTCCTCGAGTGGCTTGTCCACCCGGCCGTCATCTCCAGCCCAGCAGTGCTGCGGCGAACGCTCCGCCTTAGCTGATTGCACCCCTTGCAGGGACACGCCGCCGCTCTCTCTTCACTCGCCCGCTGACGGGCCACAGGTTGCCTCTGAGTCTTGGTGGTCCTGAGCCATGCCGCAGGGGAGACCAGGACAGGAAATCTTCCCGTTCCACGCCACAGGTCCACCACAGAGGCAGGAGGTAAGGACCAAGACCCAAAGTCCGCCCTGGGACAGCTGCCTTCCCGGGGTCAGACACCCCAACCTCCACCTCCCGCTGGGCCATCCTGGCGTCAACTGAGATGAGCAGGTGATCCACCGCAGGCTGAGAGGGGCTGGGATTCCAGACCAGGAGGCACTCTGGGAAGAAGGCCCACCTCGCCCCACCCCACCCTGCCCGGGGTCGCCCGCCCTGGCTGACCCCTGTGCCCACCCCAGCCCACCCCAGCCTGGGTCTTGGCCCTGCACTTGCTTCCTTGGTGCCCTTCCTGTGGCCAGCACCGCAGGGTTTCCTGGAAGGCGCAGCAGCCTCCTCCGCTGTCACCACCCCCTCCATCAGCAGATCCGCCCTCTGACCACTTCCTCCTCGCGGACACCTCGCGGGCTCTCAGCCCTCCCGCTGCCTGGGCTCTATGGTGGCCACAGGTGCACTGCAGGTCTTCGGGGTTCTGAGTCCAGCCGCCCGGGATGGGCTCGCGGCACCCAACGCCCGGCCTTCCGCTTCTCTAAGACTGAAGCCCCGAGCTGCTCTCTGAGCCCTCAGAGCCCTTCGTCCACTTCCCTCGTTCAACTGGACTCACCAGCGGGACGATGCCACACCTGCTCGTGACACCTGCTCTCTCCACCACCCACCTGCTCACACCACTGCTGGGAGGTCCCACACAAACCAGCCACACGAACCAGAGGCCAGGTGGCACGTCGTGTGCATAGGGAGTGGGACTCCAGGTGACCCACGTGCACTCCTGGGTACTTACCCAAATCCACATCCTGTAGTGACACAAGTCACACAGCCAAGTCATGGAACCAGCCCAGGCGTCCTTCAGCAGATGAGCGGATGAAGAAGATGTGGTGTGCGTGGGTGTGCATGTGTGCATGTGCGTGTGCGTGTGTGCATGTGCATGTGTGTGCGTGTGTGTGCATGTGTGTGCGTGTGCGTGTGTGCATGTGCATGCATGTGCGTGTGTGTGCATGTGTGTGTGCATTAGTGGTTCCACTCAGCTACATAGGAGAGTGAAACCATATCCCTGTTGGTACGTGGCGGGAATTGGGGAACATCATGCTGAGTGAAATGTGAAGCAGAAAGTCAGGGTCGATCGTGCTCTCTCATCTGTGGAAGTTGGAAACGAGGAGGGAAGTGGTTTTCATAAAATAGCACAGTGGGTAGGATGAGAGGGAAAGGGGGACAGGGAAATGAAACTGACCACAGTGTGCGTGTGTCGTCACATGACCTGCCGTGAACCCCACTGATCATGATGCACCGATCACAGGACTTTACAGAGGGACACAGATGTCTGTTTCCTGACAAGTCATGTCTGCTGGGACCTTGAAACTCCAACCTGGGCAAATGTCTTCTAGGTAAAGATTTTCACGGCTTGTTTGACTCTTACGTGACGGGCAGACAGACACGGGTAACTTCCGTGCATCTTTTGTAGATGGTAGGAATACCAACTCACGTTCTGTGCGCAGTCATTGGTGAACACGTTTTTTCCCGGTGCCGGGGCTGGAAACCAGGGCCCACATGTGCCATGTGAGGCTCCACGGAGGAGCAGCTCCCCGGCCCCACCAAGCACTTTAGGCTTCTGAGTTCCCTCATATCCTTTAAAACCTCTCTCCAACCCAGCGGCATCTTCATCCCTCCTGTTTAACTGGGTGCTCTCTGCCTATTTTATCGTGAGTTCATGTTTAGAAGTTGTTTCATTTTCTTCCATAGGGAAAACCAATTATGGCCGGGCATAAGGTGCACACGCCTGTAATCCCTGCACCCCAGGAGGCTGAGGCAGGAGGATCTCAAGTTCAAAGCCAGCCTCAGCAACAGCAAGGTGCGACCCTGTCTCTAAATCAAATACAAAATAGGGCTGGGGATGGGGCTCAGTGGTCAGGTGCCCCTGAGTTCAATACCTGGTCCCCCCACAAAAAAATAAAAGAAAGAAAAAGAAAACCAGCTATGGAAACACAAGCTGTTCCATAAACCACCCTGTCCCCCGTAGATGAAGGCCAGTGTGGCCCTCAGATAATCACAGCACCCTGGTCCTCGGCTTCATTCCCAGGGTCCAAGTTACCTGCAGGCAACCACAATATCACTATGGTGCAACAGCGGTTTGAGGCTGTTGCACTCACCCAGCATGCCTCAGGATTGCTTTATGGTTGCCAGTCCTACTGGGCCCGACGTATAAACTCAGCTTTCTCTAGAGCTGCAGGCACAGGGAGACCACATGGGGTTGGGTAGCAGCCACACTTCATGCCACACTGGGGTCTTGGGATGGCTGTAAATGCAGACATTCACCCAGTTACTGTGCTCTCACCTGTTCAGGAAAAGAAGGGGTGCTTCCAACCTCACCCCACCACCCACCTCCCTCCTGGCTGAGGTAAGCGAAGCCCCCGCAGTGACACCCGAGGATGGCCCCTCCCTCTGTCGTGGTGCTGTGGCCCCGGCCTCCCCAGTCTGAGCCCCATCTCTCCCACTCTGCACCCTCCTCTTTCCGTGCCACCTCCTCTCCTGCTGCGACCTCTACACCTGTAGGAGTCACTCCTACTTCAAAGTCCACTTTCACAGGTGCAGTAAGCACTGGGGGTTCTGCCCCTGGGCACACCTGGGATGCCTGAGCCCTCGCTGCGGTGGCAACACACACACATCCCACTTCCCACTGTGACCTTCTCAGGGGAGGAACGGGGCTGGGACCTGACCCTCACAATCACAGGCAGCGACTTTCAGAGCTTAAGTCACCGAGGGACATTCCGCAGCCACGGAGCAAGTCACTCTGCGTCCCCTCCCCCGGCCCCGGAAACACCCATCTGTCCCTACGCATTTCACTATTTTCTATTCTCTTTTTAAATCTCACTGGTCTTGCTGGCCCCAGTGGGCAGGAAACAGGGATACAGCTGTACCCCCGGTGCACAGGGGACCCCACCTTGAGAGGGTCTGACCCTAGGTGTCAGCCATTCTGGGGCTGAAGCCTGTGAGGGGGTCTTGCCTGAACAGTCCCCAGGGTAAGGTCCCCTCCCCCAGTCTCCCCACTGGGTAAATAAAGACCGGGCAGGAGGTTTTTCTCACCTACAAGAGAGGAGCTGTTAAAACCTCAGCCCCAGGATGTCCAGAGCCCCTGTCCCACATCCTGTGCCTCCTCAGCACCAGGACAGCAGGGCAGGACCTCTCTGGGCTGGGGGTGGGCATGCCTTTCTGATCTTTGCAAGACGCCAGCAGCTCCTCCTCAGGTGACAAACAGCAAGTTCTCTCAGCACTGCCCACGGTCCAGAGGGCATCAGTTCACACTCCAAGGACACCCGCCTCAAAGGGGCTCTGTGCTGGTCCTCCTTTGCTTATGAAATAAATAAATCTCTTTGGGGAAATCTCTGCCAAGTTTCACTAAAATATATTTAAAGGGCTAGGGATGCAGCTCAGTGGTAGAGGTTCGCCCCGCACACGAGACCCTGGGTGTGATCCCCAGCACTGCACGATATGTAGATATGTCACCCAAGTGCACGGGGGGTTTGGAGCACTGTGGCCCAGGGCCAAGCCCCTGTTGGCACAGAGTCCTGCCCACCTGTTGACCCATGTGGCCACTTCCCTGCTCTGAGCGCAGGGCTGAGCAGCGTGGCGGGGTCTACGTGGCCTTCAGTGCCTAAAAGTGACTATCTGGCCCTTTGGGGAAAAAATCTGCCAAATCCCAAGTTAGGATATAAAAACAATACTGACCCTGTGGCTGCCGCTCAGGGGTGGAGCGCTTGCCTGGCACACGTGGGGCACTGGGTTCGATCCTCAGCACCACACAAAAAGAAAGGTATTGTGTCCATCTACAACCAAAACAATACATACATACAACAATCCTGTAGTCACCAGGCAGCGACTGAATCAGGCCAAGGACAGAGGAATGGACTGTCCTGAGCACACTCCCAGGCCACCCTTTTCCCAGCTAATACGCCACCCACGCCCCTGTGACCCCCCCCCCCCAAGCACATGGACAAAGGCAGCTCCAAGCTCAGGACCTTCCCTTTATTACCCCCCGAGGTGCCCGTGATCAGAACTCACTGTGAAGAAAGAAATCGATGCTCAAGCCTACGTTTGACCCCCAGCCCAGGGACCACCACCACCTGGCCCCTTGACCTCCACCATGAGAGCGAGACCAGACCCCCTGGGACACACAGCCAGGAGGGAGAGAGACTCAGGGTGTCGAGAAAAAGAACTGGCAGCAGGAGGGAGCCTTCGTCCCCAAGGCACTGTCCAGGGTCAGGCCAGGGTTGCTCTCCTTCACCTCCCTCAGCACCTCCTGGACCTTCGCGTTCCACTTGTCCATCTTCAACCTGGGGGACCAGAGGACATCGGCACTAACAGAAAAGCTAGTTCTGTTGTCCCCAAATTCACTGCAAACAGCCCAAGTGCCCAGGAAGGTTTCAGGACATTTGCGGCGGGAGACATTTTTGGATCCACAAAATAGTGATCCTGAGAAACGTCCAAGTGCAGACACACGTCCTGCAAAGACCTCAAGAACCCAGCCACGGGCTCCCCCAGCCGCAGTCGTTTCTGTAATCACCACACAGAGCCTCGCTCCCGTCCCCTCTGCTGGCACACCTGTCCTCAGGCAGCCCCTCCCACTGACCTTCCTGTCCAGCCAGGTGGGAGCAGCCCAGGTGCTGCCCGCTGGAGAGACAGGCGCTCACCCCAGCCAGATGACCTCCCAAGAAAGATGGCTAAGACAGACAAGTCCACGCGTCTCCCCAGCGCAGAAGCTGGAAGTCCATCTGGATGCAGAGTAGAGATTCCCAGAGGGTGGGAAGGTGCAGGAGGACAGAGGAGACTGAACAGCACCAAACAGAAGGCACAGCCCTGGCGTTCCACGGCACAGGGAGGGCACCGTGGTTCACAGCGGCTAGTGTACATCCTGAGTCACTAGAAGAGGAGCCCAAAGGCTCCACAAGGTAATAAGGAGACGGAAACGTGAACCGTGCCCACTGGGTCAGCACTCACTGTATACGCGTAGTGCAGCGTCATGCCAGCCAGGGCGGGCGCACCCGCGATCCCAGCTACTCACACGGCCAACCGGGGAAACTTGGGAAGACCCCGCTTCAAAATAAAAGACAAAAGGCTGGGGTGCAGCTCAGTGGTAGAGCACCTCTGGGTCTGATCCCCAGCACCTCAAAAAATATGATCACTGTACCCCATAAATACATGCGATTATTACAGGTCAATTAAAATCATTTTTAAATGTTCAAGGAGATAGAATTATTAAAGACCCTGATGTGATCAGCACACACTCTATACATATATCCAGTTATCATACTGTGCCCCATACCCACGTGCTACTAAAATACAAAATATTTGAGTGAATGAATACATTTTTTCTAAAGCCAAGAAGATATTGGATAGTCAAACATTCAGTAGAGCCGGACACGCTGGGGCATGCTTCTAATCCCAGCAGCTGGGGAGGCGGAAGCAGGAGAATTACAAGTTCAAGGCCAGCCTGGGCAACTTAGCCAGGCCCTAAGCAACTTAGTGAGAACTTGTCTCAAAATAGGAAATGAAAAGGGCAGGGGGTGTGGCTCGTGGACAAGGGCCCTGGTCCCGAGTCCCAGTGGTGGGGGGACGCTCATAGAACCAAGAATGCCAAAGCGAACCCCAGGGTGAAACATCAACTTGGATCCACGTGGCCGCCATGTCCAGCCCCGCTCATGTGAGGTGGGATGGCGGAGGGTGTCGCTGAGGGATAACAGGGGACAGAAATAGGTCCAGACCACAACATGAGGCGGGAGGCCACAGGGCTCGAGGTCCCACCATACTTCTTGGTGGCATTATGGCTTGCTCCAGCCCCGGACACACCCCTGCACTGCAAACCAGGTTGAGTGGTTGCCATGTCTACAACTCACAGCCCCTGAATGAGGCCAGCTTGGACATTCCTGTGGAAGCAGGAGTTGCATTCCTGGAGCGAATGACAGTGGGCTGGCCACCGGGGATGTCACAGGTTCCACAACTTTTACAAGGGGTGAGAAATAGGAACACTGCTTCCTGGTCCCTACCCCAATCCTCCCCGAAAAGAGATGGCAGTGGAGGTGGGGACGGTGCACAGAGGACCAGAGCAGGGTGGGCCAGCTCCCGGCCAGATCCTGTCCTGCCTGTATCTTAAATAAAGCCCTCCTCCTCTGCCTTGCTCCACCTGGCAGGTGGGGACGGCCCGCTCTCCTCTCCCTGGGCCTCTGGTAACAGTGTGCACACCTGTGGCCCGAGAGCAGGAAACGTGGGTCTGCTCTGCTGGAAGGGAGGAGCCGTCTGCGAGGGCTTTGGGGAAAGGCCCGAGGAAGCCAAGACAGGTCAAGGTACTGGAGGGCTGCAGATGTTCCCCCGTCAAGGAAACCCCTGGAGAACCAGCTTCGCTCAGCGGGGACCCAGGCAACCCTGGGACCCCGGAGACGGCAAGAACAGGAACCACGCGTCCTGGCTGGGTGTGCGGTGCGCCCACGCCAGTCCTGCGCACCCACAGGCAAGCTCCAGCCTGTGCCCCAGGGGGTCTGAGCATCCGCGTGCCCAGTACCGCGTGTGCTGGACAACACTGCACAACACTCGAATCCAAGAGAAGCGCTTAGGAGAAGGGGGCAGTGGACGGAATCCCCCAGGCGAGGGGCTGCTGGGAAAGGGGTGTGTCACCCCCGCCTCCCCTTCCTGGGCAGCACTGATCTCTTCGAGGGAAGCCCGCGTGTGGAGCAGGAAGACCATACCTGAGCGTCCTCAGGGGCCCGCTGCTGGCCCTCAAGGCCTCCAGGAGCACGGTCACTCCGCTCAGTCCCAAGGCGTTCTGGCCCAGGTCCAGAGTCTCCAGCATCTGGTTGCTCACGAGGGCAGATGCCAGCTCCAGACAGTGCAGAGGGGTGAGGGAGCACCCCCAGAGCCTGTGGAGGGCAGAGAGCTGCTCACCACCAGAACCCAGTGTGCCGCCCGGTGCACACGCTGTCCTGGGATCCAGCCAGGAGCAAATGGGGCAGGTGATCAGCTCCGTGGTTGGGGTGGGGGGGGTGACGTGGACGGTCTTGGAACAAAACAGGTGAGTGGGCCAGAGAGGGCCACCGGTGTTACTTACACTGAGACCGCCGGTTGCCGGTGACCATGACGAGTCCTGCTTCCTCCAGTGTTGAAGTTTAACACCAGAGGAGCTCACCCAGGCAAGCGTCGAGTAGAAAGTGAGACGCTCGGAGAGATCGTGAACGGACTTCTCCCAGTGGAAGACGAGGACCCAAGGCGGAGTCCGTGGGGTGAGGAAGTCCTGTCCCTTTGGCACGTCCCAGTTCCCCCTCTTCTCCTGATTCTTGTCTGTTACCTCGTCCGTTTCCCCTCAGCCTGCACCGTGACTGGGGGAGGTGTGGGATGGCCTGGGGGAGCAGGTGGGCAGCCCAGGGGGCATAGATCAGCAGCGCTCTGCTCCGAGATGCTTAACTAACTACCTTAGTGGCAGGCGGAATAGCAAAGGGTTTCGGAGACATAAATGGTCCAGCCTCCCAGAGGTGATTTCCAACTTCCCAGACTCAAACTGGCCTCTGTTTTCTCAATTTGACCCTATTTACCTCACTACACTGACTGCCTGTCTGGCTTCAGTAGTGGGCAGGGAAGTCCTCATGGGAGAGTGACGTGAGAACCACCTTCAAGGCAGGAAGACCACACACAGCGCGGACATGAGACGTGCATAGGATTACGTGAAAACTAGTCACCTCGGTCCTGCATGTGAGGAATGTGTCCTCCGTCCACAGCTGTGTGTCACCTAGTCTAGCAGGTATGGATATACAACGCCATATACAGATGGACACAGAACACAAGTGTGCAGTCGTGAGTGACAGTCGCACCACATGCACGATTTCAGGGAAGTTTTCTGTTTGCTCAAGTACATGACCGTCTATCATCTCCAAGGCCTACTTTTGTACACTTTGGTGTGTGTGTTATTTGTGTGTGCATGTGTTTGTCTTAGGTGTGCATTTGTGTGGCTCTTTAAAGATCTGGAGCTGGGCGTGGTGGAGTGCATCTGTAACCGCAGGTACTCAGGAGGCTGAAGCAGGAGGATTTCAAGTTCAAGGCCAGCCTCAGCAACTTAGTGAGACTCTATCTCAAAAGGAAAAAAAAAAAAAAAACTAAACAGGACTGGGGTGTGGCTCAGTGGCTGAGTGCCTTCCTAGCATGCATGAGGCTCTGGGTTCCATCCTCAGCCCCACAAAATAAAACAAACATCCCGGACAACAAAGGTCTGCACTGGGGGTCCCCAGGAGGCAGTTCCACATCATGACGTGGCCACTCTTGAGGTCCATTTCTGCCTGTGGCACACCTCTCGTGCTGAGGCACCGGCTCTGCCCTCCAGAAGCTCTGAGCCAGGGGACACGCGG